GTCCTGTTGGTTTCTGGAAACCACCAACGAGAGGTTATTAAGGATGGTTTGATTAAACCTCTACGCCATTTTGTCTGACAGGGTATATAAAGGTGTCGTTTGGGTTTTGTCAGTGTTGAGTATGTTGCATTGTTCTTTAATTACAGCTGATGCAAAATTTCTTCCTTGATCAGAATGTAACTGAAGAGTCACTCCGAACCTGGAAATCCAATGCTGTCTCATTACCTCTGATACTGTGACAGCCTCTTGATAGGAAAGGATAGCATTCAGGGAGGAACGAGCAGGCATGGTTAAAAATTTAAAACCATCAGAATTGCTCCCTGCTGTCGCTATGCACTTCTTTAAGTTGTCAATTTCTTTGGCAACAGCAAAACTGCTTTCATCTTTTCTTTAACAGATTCTTGACCAGCTTCCATCTTTCTTGAAACAGCAACTGCCTTAATTGTTCCCCTCGCTCTTGTCACTGCCGTTCAACCCTACTCCTGACACCAAAGAGTGTTGTGTGCATATGTGTTCGTAATAGATTGAGTGCATAAGTCCGATAATTGGTTACAAAAATTTCATTTTTATCAAAGGAATATTTCAGAACTCTGGAGTTTTCCACAAAAATAGTCATACAGGTGTTCACAGTATCACACAGTGCAATGCAAAGTGTATCAAAAGAGAAAGCTAATCCGATATCACGTTGAACTCTCAACAGTAATACTAGTAGCTAACTAAACAACAGGGAGCAAATGCTCTCTCTTCGGCCTTAAGTAGTTTTCAACCGGCCGCGAGATATTTCTAGTACTTTCTGCTTCTCAGAATTATCAGAAAGCAATAATACTGTGGGATTATGGTTACAGCTAACATAGCGGTCTATTACAGTTATTCAGTTTCAATACATATTACCAAGATACCCATTTACTCAATGTTAAATGCATGTACCCTGTATTCTTACTTTTCTGGCATAGCTTTCTCTTAAAATTTGTCTTCTGCTACATTACACAGAAAAATACAATTTTAGTTACAATTCTACTTAAATTATCTATTTAAATACAAAATCCATAAAAATATATATAATCTTTAACATAAACATATAAATATTTAAATGTTTATATTACGTACTGTAATCATAGTAATTACTGGTCTTGACTGACTGTTGGAAAATAGAAATATATGTATACATTGTATATGCTTTCTATTTTTCAATGGTCATTCAAGACGAGTAAGTTCATAAATAATGTTGAATTTTGCAAGGATATCTGTGAAGCACTAGTATTGATATCCACTGTCTAATCCTGTTATAGAATGCAAGTTTAGTGTGAAACTTTTGCTCCACAAAAAGCTGTAAAATGTCCAGTTCTTCATAATTGCAAAGTCAATAGAAACATATTGTTGGTCTTAGTCTGTGTGGAAGATTTCTCAAAGAACCAGTTAACTTAAATTTCTAATCGTCACTTAAGTCCTACAATAGCCATTAGTTCTTTGCTATATAAGGTATTTCTCTCACTTTCCTAGTATGCCTTCATGGTGTAATGGTTCTGCATGCTGGGCCAGTATTCCAGAGGTCCATGGTACGATTCCCGGCAAAGGCAGTTGCTATTTTTCATCTTTCCTGCTTCCAAAAATGTACCTAATGTCTCTACAACTACATCCTCATTATTTGAGCTAATGTAATGGTTATTAAGTTCTAGTTTCTGTTTACCTTTTAAGGTAATAGTTTCATCAAGATTACTTTGTCATAATATTGATCGTAAATTTATTATGCTCTATATTGAATTGTATTGTTATACAGAAAATACCATGCTTTTAGTTAATAATTATATGCATAAATTTAGTTTCACTGGAATTCTTGATCTGTTTCTGTCTGTTGTTTCCTAAGATTGTTTTATATTTGCATAATTTAGTTTGAACTGTGTAATCACATTTGGATGTATGATAAAAACTTTGATAACACATATTGCTGTTAAGAACTGGAGAATCAGTTCTTGGTTTGAAGATTCAGTTCTTGGTTAAAACTGAAAAATTGGTGTCACAGTGAATAAAAAGTGAAATGAGTATAAAATTAATTAGTGTAAAACAAAATTTATAGCAGTAACTAGTAGAGTACAATAATCCCCTTTCACTGCAAATAAATTCTTATGCTTTTCGAGGGCATTTCTCGGTTTACGTATCTCTGTATTATCATCTCTAATGATAGCAGTATTAAACTTGAAATTGATGATAGATTATTTAGAGCTAATAGATGTCATGGCTTAAAGAATGTGTTATGTCTAAATTCAAAAATAAATCTTTGTGCAACTCTCATTAGACCTATCATATTGCATGGTAGTGAATACTGGCCATTAACAAAAACAGATAAAGAAAGACTTTAATCTTTGAAAGAAAAATACATGGCCCTGTTAGAAAAAATAATAGATGGAGAATTTAGTTTAACCATGAAATGTATACAAGATACAAACAACCTAATATTGTCCGAGTTATCAAATCATATCAGTAATCAGTCGTAATCAGGTGGCTTGGGCATATTTTCAGATGTGACAGCTTAAACCTTGTTAAAAAAGGTAACTTTTGCAAGTGTATTAGGAAAAAACTGTGATCTTTGGAGATTTTGATGGATAGTCTACTTGGAAGCAGATCTCAAGACTTTAAAAATCAATTGTTGGTGGACTGTAGCAACTAATCAGATAGATTGGAGGAAGCTTATTGAAATGGCCTTGGTCTGTAATAGACTGTAGTACAATCGAAGAAGAATACATTGAAAACTTAAGTTTTTTTAAGAAATTTTGCAATAAGAATTTTTTTAAATCCTAAAATCTCATTTTGGATTGCTATTGTTTTCTTTCATTTCTTTAATTCGAACAGAAATATATGAAGCTAATATATGATATTATTGGTACTTTTCCGTTTCGCCGACGCAAACCTCGCCATTTCCCTTTCTCCGGCGCAAGTCTCACCAAGCAGACTTTATTGCCAACAACACACAGTATACACATAAAAAAATGTTAACAAATGTTAATTCTAAGAATTTTTTTTTTTTTTTTTTTTTATTTATTTATTTTGGAGGCATAAATATTTTAATATCATTTAAAAATTTTTTCAAATGGGTCTTTTGTGTCCTTTCGCCACATAAATTCGGCGAGGTAACTTTCCAGATGATGACGTGCCGTTCTTCTGTGTTTCTTATTCCGCCATTTTGTGCTACCCATAGTCTTTCCATTTTTTGCGTGTGCGTTCCAGTTTCCGGATTTACAAAATTGTATTTATGGTTCACTTTGAAATCTTCGAAACTTTCCTCTTCCAGTTTTTCATTGCAATATGATTTCCATGAATCAGAATATATTGTAGTTCCTTTTTCGATGTTTTCATTTATTGCCTCTAATATAATAGTCATGGATCGGTTTGGCATCTTCACAAGGAAACATTCGTTTGTTTCACGACAAACTCCACCAAAGATCCACTGTTGTGATAAAATCCGTCCCACGTTGTTTTTGCGCTTTCATCCATTTCAACGATCGTACCAGGTCCTCCTATTTTGCGTTGATGACATTTAAGTAAAGAATCCACACAAACCTCTTCCAATCCACAACTGTTCCGTGATTGATTTCCAACTGCTTTTCACACCATTTAACTTAAGTTAATTCTTCACTCCAACCATAAATAAATCTTACACACTTCAAGAAACTCAGTCTTGATGAGTCAAACCATGTGCCTTTACGTATACTTCTTTTACTGCAGCAAGTTGAAAGGTTGCAACGCCATCAAATTTCGTCTCCGAAATATAATTTCATTTTATGATTATTTTCACAAATAGCAATGTTAGGCAACAACCAAAAAAAAAAAAAAAAAAAAAAAAAAAAAAACCCACTTTTTTGCGTGAAAGAATCTGACAGATTCTTCCTCTGTCCTGGGCAAATCCCAAATTTTCTTTGGTTCATCATCCATTTTTCACATACTTGTAAAAAGACACTAATTTAAGAATTTACTATGCTTTCATGGTATAAGCTTTTGGTTCGCCGGTTAATATCACGTAATCCCAAACGATCTCATCTCAGATAAACTACACTACAAAAATCTGGTTCTCTCAGGAATTATCTACATTAATTTCAAGTTAAATCTTAGTATGGAATATGAGTTTAAATGCAAGAATTATTTCAATATTATAATTTAAAAAATTCTATGTAACTGTATGCCAATATTGAAAAAAACGATCAATCTGATAAGAAATCTCAGCGACTTGTTTTGAAAAAGTGCCGTGAAAGGTTATCAGCGAAGATATTCGGTTTGGCATTGGTTGTACCATTCTCAGCGACTTTATTGCTTGCACCGGCCAAACGGAAAAGTACCATATAGCTATTTTTGACTGTTTGATCGAGGGAACATTTTGGTTATATGAACAGCCAAATGGGTTGGCATGTGCCATTTTATTTGTGATTATCATATCCAAAATGTTCATATGTAAGTAATATGAAGTTTTGTTGCTATACTCAATGAATAAAAATAATAGAGTAAAAACATTGTGATGTTTCAGATTCTAGGTATTAAGACATTGATATGCTGCAACTAATTTGAAAATTAACAAAGTTTCTGAACGTAATTATGTAAGAATATAATGTTTAAGCTTATTAAATATAATAAAATGTATAGACATAACATCTCTCTTTAGTCCCCCCCCCTTTTTTTTTTTTTTACAATGCACAAATGTAATGTTACATCTTGATGAAAAAGTGTTTTCCTTCATTTAAACATGCTTATTTTACAGTAAAAAGCTGTACTGTAAAAACTGCTTCATGGCTGCAGGCAGTTAGAATTTTCTGTTTTAAATAGTTTTGGTTGTCAGTATTTAGAATTTATTTCTGTACAAAATGAAAAATTATGGATTTGAGTAAAAAGTTATCAGAGGTTTGCAAATTATTTGGGTTGCTTAGAATATTTTTTATTTATATTTGTATAATTGTTTTTGCTCAGTCCTTATGCTTCTATTTTATTATTATTGCAATGTTTTCTCTTATCTGCAGATTGTTTGTGAGTACAAAGATGCTTTTGCCTCTGCTTGTGCTGTAGCACGTGCCTTCCCCCTTTATAACAGAAAAGCTAAATATTCTGGAAGTGGTCACACAGTAACTGTTGAGTTTGTTCTTCTCAATGCTGATGGTCATAAAACTACTGCACTAAGAGATTCTGATGTTGAGTGCTTGACGGTTGCTGCTGAGGGGATACGATTAGCCGCCAAAATAGTGGATATGCCATGCAGTGAGATGAATACTGATGCTTTTCTTCAAGTAATATGTTTTGAATAATGTATATTATATATGAAAAAAGATTTTATACAATACATATTATTTAAATGTTTTGGTGTTTTAAAAAATTTTATCTCTTTAAACCTTTTTAAGTATTTCTGTTCTATTCTAATGAAATATTTTTTTTATTTAAAGTAACATACTTTTTTGAGAATTCAAAATTAATATAGTTAACTTTCATGCATGTTGAAATCTTTAATGAATCTAAACACCTTAAGAGAAGTTTTTTTAAATTTCAGCCAAAAAAAATCTGTAATAGTTTAAGCACTTCTTAAATCAGTGAAATTTAAAGAATTTACTTTAAGGCAATATATATTTAAAAAATAATTTATGAAAATAAAATACACAGAAATATAAGAAGTATTATTTGCCCTTTAAATAGGCTTTTTTCAAATTTTTACAAAATTTGTACACATAAATAATCTGAGTGAAATTATATGTGAAATCATATTTTTTTCTATATAATGTAACATGAAAATCTAAATAGATGATGATCTGCCAGAATGATAAGAATAGAGGGGCAAGTTTATTTTTTAACATTGAGTAAATGGTTATCTCACTAAACTGGCGATATCTCCACAAGTTGGCAATGGCTTTGCAACTAATTTTTGTCACCAAATTTGGCGAAAAGTTTCCAAATTCAGCGACCATTTGGCAACACTTTGGTCCAGTCCCTGTATCACTGTAATAGGCATTGCAATTGAATAACTATAATAAATTTCATCTGCAACTGTAACTGTATCTATCCATCCCTCATATGCTTTCCAGTAATTTAAAGAAATACTAGACATTCCTCGGCAGCTTTGTGAAAACTGTATAGACCAGAGAGAGCATCTGCTGTCAGTTTTAGTTGTTGGTTCGGAGTGACTCTGGAGTATTGAGATATCCTTAATACCTCTGCCTTTTAGATGCGCTTTACATTATGTTGTGTTTAACATTCTTGGTAATTTGAAGTGTAACTACTGACTGTGTTTTGAAAAGTTACAGAACTGGGAAGTGTGCCATTGGATAAAATAAATCTTATCAAACTGTCATCGGTTCTGTGTGCATTCAGTCTATTGCAAACCTGTGCACATGCAAAAATATACATGTTAGTATGAGTAGTACACTCGTTTCAAGTAACATATCTTTATATTTCTAGGTGGAAGTTAATAATTCGCTTCAATTTGCTTTACTGAGAGCATCAGTCCTAGTTCCCCCTCCACAATGCCTTGTATTGTGGCCAGCATGGGAAAAGAATTTCATTTGGTTTCCTGAATTTCCAGCACTTTCAGTGCAAATATGGTGTAGAGACCATTAGTAGTTTTTCAGAGCAGAAAACATGTTTGGCATAAGTTGAATAGTTAGAACATTTAGACAAAATTCTGATACCTGTGATGTAGCAAGGTCTGGTTGCCTAGTAACAAAGTTCGCCTTATGCCTTTTGTGGCCAGAAAGCCCTCATGTGAATACTCCATTAAGGATGACTGGCAAGAGGCACATGACCGATTCAACCAAACTATGAGTGGAAGATTGAGCTCATCTGGGATCTTTTTGGAACAAGATACATAAAAGTCAGTTGTATACTCATCAGGATTCAAGCATGGATTTTATTGTAACTGTCTGAATATATTAAGTGTACTATGAAGGCATGCTCGGAGGAATGTGTAATTCCTTATTGAATGTAAGCTATTTCCCTGGTATGATTGCTTAGCATATTAATTTGTTTCCTACATTTCTATATTTAATTTAATTATAAATTTATAATAATGCATAAATACTAATAATATTATCATTAAAAATTATTTGAAATGCCATAAAATTCATATATTGTGAGTGATGTTCATGTGAACAGATAGAATGTTGAGAAATGTAAAATCTTGGTAGAATAAGTGGGAGGATATTTTTACACCAGAACAGCCTTTGAAATCATCATAAGATTTTATTCATCATTAGATGATCTGTTAAAGTCAAAGAGTTTCTATTACTTAGTAACTTTTTGCTTTTGCTAAAGTCAGACATTTTACAATCACTGCTATTATTTTCAGAATCATGTATATTTAATGCATAAAAAATAATAATAATTGTGTAAATATTATTAAACAAAACTGAAAAACTGTAATTTGCTTTTAAATATATATTGATAAAAGTTCAATAATTTTCACCTAAAATTTCATCTAAATAAAATATTCAGGAAATATAGTACACATCATTAAACCTCCCCTTTTTTGAAGCACTAAAACTTTTTGTTAGTTGTTTTGATTAACTTTTGCCATCTGCTACTAAGTGTTTTCAGAGCTGTGGAGTCGGCAGGAAAAATTATTGACTCTGACTCCTGGAATTTTAAGGATTACGACTCTGACTCGAACTTTGACTCCGTTATAAATATATATGTAAATATATACACATATACAGCTTATTTTTTTAATATAAAAGAAGTAACAGATGCTACAAAAAATTGATACCACAGCAAATTATTTATATTAATTAGCATTTATTATGGAAAACTGGCATTATTTATTTCTAAGAAGCAGTATTCTTTGTTGGAGGACCATAGATCCGATTTTATAAACTTCATAGCTAGAAGAGTCTTTCTATACTGGCTTGAGTAGGAGGAAGAGATGTTACTGTTAGAGCTACTTCTTTTAACTCTTGAGGATAGATTTTTAGAAGTTTTAAAAGAAGTGTCTTGCAAAAGCAATCATATTTCTCTATTTCTTCAAAGGCCATGTAGAAATCTTGTTTGTATTTTTTCATTTTTATATCTAAAGGCTCTTGATTCGTTATTTTCATTCGCTTTACCTTAGCCTTTTTCAATATTATCCAAAAATATTTCTCAAAATCTAATTCATTACTGGAAGAGGATGATAGAGACACAGTTGCAATGTCTGCAGTTTGATTGTCCTGATTTGAATACTTCAATTGTTCTAAAAATAATTTCATTCTTACTGAAAATTCATAGATGGCTTTCTTTGCCTTCTTAATTTGTTCATTATCCAATAAAAGTCTGTGTTTTGGATCTACATATATTGAACCCAGCTAGATCTCGTTGTCTAGAAAACTAGTTTCTCTTTTGTTTATTGAAGAAATGATTCTTTCTGCAATAAACCCTCCATTTCAGAAAGAACAAACATCACATTCTTCCACCTCACCTTCTGTTAATTCATCAGAATGTAGCTTTTTTGTGGCTATATATGGTCTAGAAAAAAAGTTTCCAATTTTGAAAGATCATTCCACAGTCTTTCTGTTGTGAAACATTAGGGTTATCTACATCTTCTAAAAAAGTTCTTAATTCTAACAACCTCTATATAATCAAATATGTACTTCTCCATCACGTTGCTTCATCAATAATTGCTCCTTTCCTTGCTCGCTTCCTAAGAGTAGCATCAATTTTGGGAGTTCTGCTATTCCTACTTACCTAAATTTATCAGTGAGATTTGTAACTAAATGAATCAGTTTAATCACTAATGGCAAATATCACATCCATCCTCCTCCCTTATATTTATTTATTAATATGTCAATAAAATAGAAAATAACTGTTTATTAATGTATGTAATCCATAAATAAAAATAAATCAGTGTGTTATTAACTTTTTTAATGAATGAAATGAAATTAATTTAATGAAATGAAATTAATTTCATTTCAAGTTCAAACTGTCCAACAAAAACTGGAGTTGGAGTCGACCTGTTCTTAGCGACTCCAGCTCAGACTACTTTTACCCAAAATCCTTTTAACCTTTTTAATTGGAATCCATGACCTGACTCCAAGTCTACAGCCCTGCTTATAATTACAAATTAATAATGTGAAAAACTTGTTTATTTTGACTATTCATACTTTTCAACAATGTTCTTTTTCACTTCTTTTAGTTTCATTGTGAGAATGTATACAGAATGCAGTTGCTTTCAGTTCACAAAAAACATTCTTGATACTTGAACGGTTGTTTATTTCAAATGATTTGCTGGAATTCTTAATATTTTTTGACTTTAAATTCTTAATATTTTTGGAGGGATTCATTAGACAAGGAAGTTTTTATTGTTTATGTTCTAGGTTCTTTCTCCTCCTCCACCTCATAATTTTAAAGTCTTTCAGCTTTGGCAGGGAATGGCATATTTCTATAATTATATATAAAGTGTTCGTTTGTCTAATTGCTTAAACTATTATATTGAACTATTATAACTTAAATTATTATAATTTTAAGTGATTTCTCTCTCTTTGCTTGTTATTTTTATCATTAATATAGTAAATGGATCAAATTAGTAAGTTTTTTACACTTGCATACTATTCCGTCAACTATGAAGAGTTGGCTACCATCAAACCATGAAAATTGACAGAGTTCACCAAAGTTGCACAAAACATTCCTGTGTAATTCTGAGTTGCACTTTTATCTGCTATTTTTACAATAAAACATTCATCATTTTCTTGGCTCAGTCCATCAAATAGCCACTGCTGCGTAATTATTTAGCCTTGCTTTGTTTTGGAACTCCGTAAAAGGGCTTTTATCAGTTTCTAGCTCTGTTCAGAGCAATATGACTACAAACTTTCCACGGGTAACTGTTCTGATCTCCTACTGTTTTATCAGCCATATTCGGTTGTTCTTTTCCTAGTTCAACAACTTTTAATTCTCTAGATCAGCTGTAAATGAACTCAAGTGCAGGTGCTACACCCCTTGAACTCATTGTTAAAAATGCAAGGAGGGGAAATACAGCAATAGCAGTCAGTTTATATCATTGTTCATAAAAACAAGAGGTTGCTTACTGAGAATCAGTGGAGGTTACATCAGATGAAAGTGCAGATGTTATGAATATGTTGTGATATCACTCTTATCCATAAGTGGTGCTGAATCATGATGCTTAGATAATGGTTTCATGGATAATGCATAAATACCAAATTTTATTATTCATTCAATAAAAATTCTTTGAGTTTGCAAACATATACAAATATAAAGTTTACAAAATTTTTAATATCACTGCAAATGCTAATGGAAGAAATTAATTTTTTTTTTCATTTCAGGAAATTCATAAAGTTGGTGATGCTTTGGGTATTAAACCAGAAGTAATACGAGGACAAGATTTAGCCAAAAGGGGCTTTGGTGGTAATAAATTTCATTATATGTTTAAAAAAAATTGATGATTAAATTACAAGGTTTGTAAAATAATCTATGTCCAGTTATTTTTTAATTAGATTCATCTGTACTTTAACATGAAAAAAATAATAAATGAGTATTTTAATATCTATATAAGAGATTATAATCAGTGTTAGTTTTATTTAATCTGTTAAATGATATTTTGATTCTCTAGGGAATGAGAAAACATAAATCTTCATAATAATTCTTTGCTTATATAGTAACTACTGTCTAAAGCTTCACATTATGAAATATACACTCTTTTTCAAAATAAAGGAAGCATTGTTAAGGAAGTGACTGTTGAATTGAAATTAAATGTGTAAAGTGCATACACAGGTAATGAAATGAATAAAAATTCTAGGCCAGTAACACCCATCAGTGGCTAGCAATAGCACATTGAATGTTCAAATCAGTAACTGGTTAAACCCCTTGGCAGTGATGCATGGTTGTAAACATTGAGGTAAAGAGTGATGATGATTCCTAATCTCATCCTGTACACTTTGCAAGGCTTTCCTCGAATGATGCTCTACATCTGTGATACTGTGGGGTGCCCTAATTTGGTGGCCTACTATATCCCATACATCTTAGACTGTTGAAATTTCTGGTGATCTTGCTGGCCAAGGAAGAGTATCAAAAAGCTCAGAGACACTCCAGAAATATATGAGTCCTATGGATCTAGCATTATCCTGCTGGAAAATGGCTTCAGGATGGCATGCCATCTAACAGCAACTGGATGTCATCAACATATCATTGAGCTTTTAAAGTTGTATGCAAGATGACTGGGGTTTACCTGCTGTAGTAAGAGATAAAACCCCACACCATCACACTAGAGGTAGTGGCTGTGTGCCTGTATAAAACAAAGGCTGATTGGAACTGCTGGCCCTGGCACATCCACACATGGACCTGATGGTCATATGCTCCAAGACTGAAGCAAGTTTCATTATTGAACACTATGCAGTGTTACTCTCCTGGCAGCCATGATGATTGGCTATGATGCCACCCCAGATGACTGTCAATGTTGTGGGGTTGAAGGCAGATGATACAACACTTTGAAGACAGCGTGTACCACTGGTGGCTCACAACGCATGGTTTATCTGGCAGCATGGACCACCAGTGCCTCACACATGAATGGTTTATCTGGTGATGTGTACCACTGGTGGCTGTCACATGAATGGTGTATCTGGCAGCATGTACCACCAGTGGCTCACATGTGAATAGTTCATCTGGTGGTGTGTACCACTGCTGTCTCACATCAGCTATAGTTTTATAACACAGTTTTGTTAGATGAAAAAAACTTCATGTATATATTTATGTATGTAATATATTTAACTACTATATCATATTACACTACTTTGCTAAACCCATAAATAATGACTATTACTTTGCTAGACCCATAATAATCAAAAAGTTTATTGGCATAATAATAAGTATGCCAATAAACTTTTTGATTTCTCCTATCGTAACAGGCATCCAAGATTGTTTTTGTTTTCTGGTGGTGAATAAACAACTATTTTCAACACCAACGTTGGATTGTTCAGCATATCTATTTGTTTCATTCACTATTACTTCTAGAACATTGTATGACAAAAATAACTGGTACAATGAAAAAGGATCATCACAATTTACATTTTCATGTAAAAATTCCTTATCTTCCATATACTGACATATCACACTCCTTCATCCTGTGACCTGCTGCCATTCTGTCTCCTCATCACTTTCTTCCGAATCAGCTTCAAAAAACTCTGATGTCATAGTATATTTATCAGATGTCCTAAACGAGTCACTTTCCTCCAAATCATAAGTGTCATTGTTACTCTCCTCTGAAGAAGATGAAAGCATCATCTGCCTTGGTCTTTGTCTGTGGAACAGAATCGTAGATTCATCTCATGAGTCATCTATTATTGTAAAATCCATTTCCTCCATTTTCTAGGGGCTGAAAATTGTAATATATTACAAATTTTACCGTGTATGTCTTATAATTCTGCTTACCATAAGAAATCAACTTCTAATTTTTTTAAATTTCAAATTCTTGTATGCAAAATGAAAAACAAAGGTACACGCCAACAGCAGTTCACTATCTATTAGTAATCCGTAAAGAGTGAAGAATTATTCATGAACACTCAACTTTGTATTTACGAAACCAATTAAGTGCAAATGCTTACCAAACATAGAATAACAGGAAAAAGAAACTCCTCTTGTAAAGAATACTGCATATACTAAACATGTAGTAACACTGCGCTTTTGTGTCTGAAGTTTTGCTACACAACATTGTGTGCAAGGTGCCAGCAGGTAAAACATAGTATGATTTTTACTGCCGTCCGATGGCCCAATATAGCAAAATCTGCGCCATTGTTAGTGTGTTAAAAGACCCTTTGTGCACAACCCCACCTCAGCTAAGGGCGTTAGACAGTGGAAGGTGCATGGGTGGTATGGAAGAGGCTGTAGAACATTGGATAGTGGACAGTGATGCCATTTAGAGAAGTTCAAGCTTGTTACACAATCAACTGATCTTCCCTCACATTTGTGCACCTTTTCCTTCCAGAATCTTGATTTTGACAATGAGTAATTTGCAGCAACCATTGTTGCAACTACAGCCATGTACATCCAGTGCAGGTGGTGACTATTTTGTTTGGTATGACCAGCCCACTTCATACGTTCCTACTTTGCGAATGTGGTTGATGTCATTTAGTTGTCTACAGTCAAAAGTCGTTAATCCGGACTCGTCGGGACTTCAGCGATTCCGGATTATCGATTTTTCCGGATTGTAGATCATCAGTTTAAATCTAAGATGGCATGCAGAAATTATAAAATTAAAAATATGAAACCATAATTTATGAAATAAAGAACAATTATGATCTAAAGGGTATCAAAATTTACAAAAAAAAAAAAAAAAAAAAAAAAAAAAGCTTAATATTTATTTGTTTACTTTATTAAGCATTTCTTTCAATGTAAGTTGTTTAAGTTGCTTCATTTTTTATGTGATAATACATTCTCTTTAATTCTATAAACAGACATAATTTCTTGTTCAGTTACAAAGTTCCGCTATTCAAGTCCTAGAATTGCTGTGTCGAGAATACCGACTAAATTTGTCAATCGAAATTTTTCCGTTTTCAATAACCTCTGTTATTTTCTTCGCTATCGGAAGCGAATTATAATGACGAGGAATTTGATTTAAATCATATCAAAGACGGAAATACTACATTTAGTAAGGAATTATAAGCCAAATAAAATAAAAAACATCTGCCCTGAAGATAAGGATAGTGCTGACAGATCAACTTCCAATTCATTGTGCACCGCAGCATTAAAGATAAACAAAGTTTAGATAAACAAAGGATATGCCTTTATCCATTTTTTGCAGCAATTCCACTTTTTGTTTAATGGACTTCTAAAAATACTTTCGCTTTGTAGATCCTTTACATATTAGTAAATATATATCAGAAATTCTATTTGACATAAGTGAAAGTTCAAGCTTACTTTTATAAAATTGCTCTAACAGTCTGCAAAAAATAATAAGCTGAATCCAATTCGAAGATTAAGGAACAACACAATCTGCAACATTAACTGAATTGAGTAAATTTTAGCTTATTTTACCGTCCGTTATAACATTAAACACGCATTCGTAAACGTATTTTGCGCATGCGCACACGCTTATTCGCAGCCGTAAAGGTCTTACGCACATGTGCAGAAAGTTTGTAGCTTTGAGGTCCGGATTATAGATCATTCCGGATTATGGGTGTCCGAATTAACGACTTTTGACTGTATATAAAGTCTTTGGCAACATCATAATGACATTATTGTTTATGTCTCCAGAGGACTGCAATGTTGACAAGGAAAGATAAATCATCCACAGTTGTTACCTGTTTTATGTGATGCTAGTTGTACAGTAGAAACGAATGCTATGACCAAAGTTAGCACTCATTGGCCTTGAAATTTAATCATTTGCATACTTGGTATGAGGGAACTTGTATACAAAATTTCAAGATGATTGGATTATTTTTTAAGGGTGCTCCATTCCCTCCTCTAAAAGGGTATGTTATTAGATAAACTATAATTCAGAAGAAAATGTGCTAATATTTTATTTTCACTCTTTTATTTAGATTTTAAAATGAACACGTTTTACTTAATTCGTGACTTCAGTTTTTGTGGTATTATCTCCCTGTCATATAAAAATTTTCATTTATATTTATAGCAATTTTTAAGTAATATCTTATTTTTTAAAAACAGTTATTTCATAAAATTGTATTTATCTTAAATTTAATCTTAAAGTTTAATGTTTCTATTACAAAATATTGTATGAAGAAATTATTAGTTGATCAGTTGTGGTAATTTTTTCCCTGTTTTGGTTTTCCTTTATAGCATTTAAAATTTTATGATTTTTAATAAAAATTTCTAAAAAAGGTCATAGTAAAAGAAAATGACTGTTATTATTGTATTCAGTTATAAGAAATTTACCAGTAACAATGAAAATATAGTAAATGTACTTCTGAAGGGGAAAAAAAATTGAATTTTCTACATATTAATAGTCAACATTGAATATTATTTTAATTTATTATATTTTGGTTCATTTCTGTTAATTTTTTTCATTACTATTATGTATGCTAGGCATCTATTCAGTGGGTCAAGCAGCTGAACATCCTCCAGCCCTTGCTATTTTAAGTCATACTGATCCTGATGCAGAAGAAACTATAGCTTGGGTTGGGAAGGGAATTGTGTATGACACAGGTGGATTATGCATTAAATCAAAGGTACTAAGATTCATATTTTAACTTTCATTATCGTTAAGGTTTGTGTTTTGCAGCATATTCTTAGTATTCTTAATAATGGTTCTTTGAATAAATGAACCCTAAATCAATATATCTGTATATAGCTTTAATTCCATAATATTTAATTATTTAAGATTCAGAGCGCTGAATTATTTTGCTAAAGCTAAGTTATTTTGTAAAATGTTTTTACCATGAAATGCTGACTATTTAGTTACATATATTGTTCCTCTAGTGTTTTTCATTTTGCATTTAGAAGGAGAAAAGCCTTTCAAACTGAAAATCAGATTGTAATTAGTGGTCACTAAAAATATATTTGATCTTTTATATAAATTGAACAGCTATATTAAACAACTTTTATATTTCTGATTGTCATGTTTTATATCTTGGATGCTGAGCAACTGTAGGGTGTAAAATGCACCTGATAGCAAACCAAAGTGCATTTCCAGCTAAATGCATTAATAAAAAGCTGAAACACAATTCTGTTAATAAAAAGTGTGCTTGAAAAGATAGTTAAAAATTAGAAATAAGTACTCAATATGTTACTTGTACTGAAAAATATATTATGTAAAGACATATAGAGGAAAATACTTCTTTTAATAAACTAATTTATAATGTATTATTGTTATATATTGTTTATTATAAAGATTTTAATAGCATATTATTCTGTGATTTGTACAAAATTCTGTTTAAAGTACAATACAAAGTCGTTTTATTTCTGGATTAATAGAATTCTGTTTTATAAGTATTAGGGTTTCCTTTGTTACATGAAAGATTAATTTCTCACTCTTAAATTCCCCCCCCCCCATTTATGCTGCACTTTATCGGCACATTTCAGCTTTCTCATTAGTTTAAAGTTCCAAGATCATATAGTCACAAGCAATTGCACTGAAAGGAACCAGTTTTAGAAAATAATTCCTGAAAACATTTTTAACATCCAAGCTTTCAGCTTGAAATTTCTCGAGTTCTTAGTTTGAAAATTGAAGGACTTGCAGCAAGAAGGGCCCAGCTCCACTTTGGTAGATTTTCTGTTCATGGGTCTTTTTTGTTTAAAAAAAAAAAAAAAAAAAATCATTCTTTGCATTGGATAAAAATCCATTGGAGTAGCCATAAAAAATCATTTTTACTAGCTCTTTTAATGAGGAAAAATGTTTGGAACATAAGTTAAAAAATAAATTAAAATTTTTTTTTTAACTTTCCAAAAATTTCAAAATGTGGAGCTTGGCACTTCTTGTTCCAAGCCTTTCAATTCTTTTCATATCAGTTATTGATCAACATATATTTATGCTATTTAAATTTTTCCTGTTCACTTTTTATTTAATGCTCATTGTAGTAGCGATCATTTCTTTTAATAAATTATTACTGTTTGGCTAACTTTATAAACTTTGTTGTGCATTTTATTTTTTACATTGAATTCAAAATATCATGTTTTACTATTTGTTATTAAATGTATTATTATATTACTTGTGTAGAACATAATGGAATCTTTTATGCTACTTTAAGACTTCTATGGCTGGTATGAAAAGAGATTGTGGTGGAGCAGCTGCTATACTTGGAGCATTTTATGTTGCTGTGAAACTGGTAAGTGTAATTAATTTATAGGCCAATGTTAAGTTTCAAAACTAAACAGATACAGAATTTGTAGCTCTTGTTGAGAACATAATACATTTAAATGCCCTTTTTATATTATGTGGTTTCAGTAATGGAAACTGGGATTTATATATTGTTCATTTTTATTTTATTTATATGTCAATTTTTGAGGAAAGTCGCATATAAAATTTGCTTTGTATGTTGAAATTTTAACTCGGGAGCACGTGTGCTGAGTTATAGTAGCAGCACACACACACTGGGGCCAAAAGACCTGGTTTATGTTTTTGTAAGAAAAAATTGTAAAACTTCAGAAAAAGTGTTATAAATATGCCAATAATAAATTTTATGATCAAACTTAAAAAATATGCACGTTAAATATTTTTGATTTCTCCAAATGGTTTTATGAAATAAAATTTATTAAAGGAATAGAAAATTGTAGTGTATATTAGCATAGGGAAAAAATAGTGTACCTTTATTCTGTATTGATTCTTTAATAGCAATATAGACACAAAGAAAAAATGTAGCCACAAACGTTAGCAGCACATTAAGCAACGTGTTGTTGTGTGTTTGAAATACAAATATTTTTCACATTTGACACAGCACATACTTGTTTCCTCTGCTTTTTCGCTGGACAACACTGCATCTTCTTTCTTTTTTTTAACAATTTTTTCCCCATTAAAGCAATTTATGTCATTCTCACTCTCGTTTTCAGAATCTGTATCAGTTTCAGAATTTGTATCATGTGAACTAATGATTCATGATCACTTCAGACCTTCTGTTCTTCAACTGATTCTTCACCAGTTGATATATCTAAGAACTTTTCCAACATTTCTTCCTTATAAGATAAATTATGCAATATATTTGTTGCTTTCTATGTTATCACAAATCGACTATGTAATAGTAATACGAATAGACTCTGGGTCTAAAAGACTGTATCCGATCAAAATCAAGGTTCCTAATTTAGACCCCAGCGAAAAACTCTGGAAACATAAAGAGGTCGACCTCAGATACAGTTACACAGGACCTGAACAACTTGCCTGAAATAGGCATACTTTGAGAAAGGTTTGTTTAATCACCTGTGTCCGTTGGACCTAGTGCAGGCACTTGCAGGTTAAAGTAAGTGTCAGTATATAGCATTTTTGCATATTCAAAATGCTTTCTGAAAGTATATGATGTACCTTTAAAAGTATGTGTAATTTGCATTATACTTCATATCTGTCTGTTGTGTTTGAAAAAGTCATCAATAAAGCTTTCAGTACTTCCTGAAATTCTGTACTAAATCTCTTTCCCTTCAGCTGCATTTCTGCATTTTTATTTTAGTTTAGAGGGAGAAATTCCTAGGAGTTAAATCTGATGTATAGAAAAGATGAGGGCAGGTCTGTTACTGAATGCTACAACTGCTACATAGCAAATTCAGTTACTGCTAGTTTAGGTATCATCCATCTCATGTTCAGTTCATTTAATTAAATTCAGAGATCTGTAATTTGTCAGTTATCACAGGTCATCTTCCTGCGATTTTCTAATGTTATCAATCATTTTGCTAGTCAGGGGAAGTCTAGAATTAATTCTATATGACTTTTAGCTGTTATTTTAAACCTTTAATAACTAACCATCTAATTAAACTTTGTCATCAAAGCTTGCTAAAGCATTTTTTGAGTTTCTATATTACTATCACCAAGTTTGCAAAATGATTTAACACACATTCAATTTTTCCGTGTTTTTTATTTGTATATGTGGTAAAATTGCAAAATATACTAAACGTGGTATTAAAAAGTACTTCCATCACCCCTTCTGAAAATGAGTTTACTGAGATGAACATTACTTTGACAATCTAATTTAGAAAGCATGTATTCAATCATCTATCTGTGTAAATATAGTGCTTGTCAAATTTTTCTCACATTTTCAAGAATGTTTAGGTTACATCTCGTATTTTATGCATTCAGTGATATTTTATGTATTATTATTAGTATTGTATGAAAATTATTTTTGTTTTCAGATATTTGTGGGAAACATTTATAAGTAATGGAATTTATTAAAATTAAATTGAAAAATTCATTTTAACATGCAATAAGCTTGGAAGCAAAAATAAATGCTAAAGTATTTTAAGTTGCTGAATTGTTAAAGAGTAAAATTATTCTTGTAATATTTTATTTTTTAATCCTATGCAACATAATGAATGTATACTGTGTATATTCCAGCCAAAGATTGTGATGGTCTAATGATTTAGCAGGTCTTATATTGTACAGTTATATTATATTAAGTTTATTTAACCTTTTCTTTATAATTATTAATTTAATATTGTGAAATTAATAGCATAGATTATGATGCTAAGTCATTTTATTTTTCTTTTAAGGGTTTCCAAGAAAATCTTCATGCCATTTTTTGTCTTGCAGAAAATGCTGTTGGCCCGAAAGCTGTGAGACCAGATGATATTATTACAATGTATTCAGGAAGGTAGGTTTTAATATGTATAATTCTTGAATAATATTTTTATATTTCATTTGTTATTATCTTTTAGTTATATTTTGTGAAATATTTATGTGTTTCTCCTATATTTAGGACAGTGGAAATCAATAACACTGATGCAGAAGGCCGTCTTGTTTTAGGAGATGGTGTAAGTTTAATTTTTAGATGTATGGTTATATAATGCAATAGCATATGCTCTTGAATAATTCAGAATTCAAAGATTTTGAACATTTAATGTGTGTTAGGTATATGCTTGATTTCTGAATTATCTTTATATCATCCTTCTTTTTAATAAGTGCTACAACAGAATATGTTTTTTCTCTGAAAATATTGTATGTTTATTTATTTGATGTTATATATGCTAGTGATTACTTAAGATAAAAGTATTCTTCAAATATACTGAGAGAAAATGGTCATATTAATAAAAGAAAGTTGAAATGCTAATTTTATGCATTTTAAGAGCATAAGATTCCCTTTCTGAATAATATTTTGAATAAAATGTTCAGTTCTTAGAGGAAATGTGGAAGATGTGGTCTGATAGACCATAATGCTCTTTACATTTAAATAATAGTATATATATTAAATTATATATGTTGTATTATTTGCATTTAAGTAACTGTGTATGTGTAAATTAATGAAACTACAGAGAGGAAGAGGTTTAAATCAAAATAGATTTTGGACTTTCAGATTAACTTGTATCCAAAGTAAAAAAAAAAAAAAAACCTTCTGTAAAATTTTGTTCAGTATAATCAGAAACTTGATGTAGTAGCTGAGAGAAAATTTAATTTCAGCAGTGATAGTGTGTAAAATGTAGGATGTTACTCTAATATAGCTGGAAATATTCAATAGAGAGTTCTTTGTCAGCTGTTTGATTTAGAAGGGTATTCAGAAAACAAATTCAGAATCTCTCTGTAAAAGTTAGTTTAGCATAATCATTTCATATACTAACACATTTATACCAGCATATATCACTAGTGCTTGGATACCAACATCATAAAAAGATTTCAGAATGTACTAGACCTTAAGTTAATTACTTGCTTCATTTCATTATCACTGCTTAAATAATGGCTTCCAGAAAGTTCCCTTAAAATTCAAATAACTGAAAATTATTTAGAGTGAGGTGCAGACTGTAAGGAGTTTGTGATAGTAATTGCTGCTCAAGAACTTAAGGTGAAGGTATGGTAGATTGTATGTATGCATAAGTTGTCCTAAACAAAAAAAAACCACCTTTAGTAATTAAATAAAAAGGACTCTTCCCCACATCTCTACTATGAGCATGTTATATTTATCTTGAGTACTTGACAGTAATTGATGATGACACTTTTACTGGTGAAGTCACAGAATAAAAATTTCATGTAAATGATAATTGTATCCTCAAAAGTGTTGACTATGACTTAGCTTGTAAACATACATGATCAAAATTGTTAGGAAGGTAGCGAGTTCAAATACTTCTATTTTTCGCTGCACATTTTAAAAGTGTGAAATGAATCAGATTGAGAAAACATTCCAAACCTACAACACATTAACCCTTTCCGGCACACTACCTTTTAAAGTCAGAATTTTTATTTAAAAAAAAAAAAGTAGGCAGTCTAATTAGACCTAGAGGAGTACACAAGTAAAATTTTGTGACACTTATTGTTTTAATTCTGTGGGTGTGCCCAAAGTGGCACACTGATTGAATAGAGCTTCGAAAAGAATGCTGAAACGAGCATTGTTGTCAATGACCTGACCGATGAGATGCAGAGAAACAAAGAATACAGACGGAGCCTAGTCTGGGCACACCTAGGGTTCGCCGTTTGATTTTAGGCAAGATTTTGAGGTAAAAATTTTAAAAAACTAATATAGAATAATGAGATTACCATACAGCCAAAAAAATAACAGAAATTTCTTTTCAAACAATTCCTTTTATACCCTAAAAAAATCTGGAAGATTTCTTTGAAAAACGAGGGTCTTGAAAAAACTAAACATGGCTAAAATATATGGACTTTTTATGTTGAGCTGCCATCTACTATAAATAAAGAAGGTTCAGAGTAACCTATAAATCCTTTTTCGTTCAATATTTCGGTGCATACAGAAGGAAATTTTTAGGTGTGTTGCAAAGGGTTAAAAGAAGAATATGATATGAAAGGGCAGTCTTTGCTGGTAGACAGCAGACTGATGTAAATTAAACTGCTGGAACTATAAATGTTTATGAAAGGGTGTATTCACATTTCCCACAAAAAGCTACATTTGTTCCACAAATTGTTGACAGGTTATATGTCAATTTTCAAGGATCAGGCATTCCACGTGCTAATGTACATAGAAACTGTAGTACTCTCTGAGCCATCTTGACTGGGATTATCTGGCATTGGCATATGATGGAGTTATCACTAACAACATGCGAGGCTAGAAGAAACTTCTCTGAAAAACTAGCTAGTTCATAGCCCAAATATTTGTTGTAGCTAGGTAGGAGAGACCTTTTGAAACTGAAGTGAAAATGTTTTACTTGAAACTTTGTTCCTCGTATGATTTCTCCAAAGAACTGGTTTTGTCATAAGTCAGCCAATCAAAGAGCCCCAAAACAAAAATTCTGGGAAATGTTTTTCGACATGCTGTTGAGGGTAGCAGATGCGATATTGGTTTAAGTAAATTGCATTTGCAAACTTGAACGCTATTTTATCTTACTTTTGTTGCTTCCTGCCATTAGTACACCATATAGTATCTTTATATCGAACTAATATGTATTGTTATTTCTCTGTATGCTCATAAAGTATGTTTAGTTTGAATAGAACCTTCTTATTATATTGTAAAGCATCTACTGGCTATCTTTAAAGAAGAAGAGGTCATAGAAGGCATTATAAGGAAAGTGCCTGTATATACTTAGGGGGAAAATTATATATATATTCCTTATAGTCTGTTTTACTTATACAAACTAACCTAGAGTGAATTACCTGTGTTTCAGCTTTAGTTGTTTAATTTGGTTGGCATGTGATTCTATACGAGATTCTTTTCTGGGGAAGTTGAATGATTTAAATTTTATGACTTTTCTGTTGACTCGAGTTTTAGGAAGCTGCAAGGGAAATCTTAGCAGTCTATTTAGACCGAGTATCAAAAAATATATAATGAAATTCATTTCTGTAGATAATTGGTTTCAAAATATTTAGTATGAAAAGACACGAGAAAAAGGATTTTACCATCTTAAGTATACTTTTTATGTGCAGCAGACATATTAAGAATTCTATCAGAAAGGCTCATTCAGCAGTGAAATGCGTGTCTTAATATTGAAAACACTTTTTGCCCACTATAGTTATCCACTGTCTTTATACTCCCTGTAATGTATTTATTTTACCATCTTAGATGAAAATTCTGTCTTACATTATTATTAAGTTGATTCAGCTAAAATTAAAATTTTAAATTTGTTTTACAGGTTGCATATGCTGAAAAGGATTTAAATGCTACCACCATATTAGATATGGCTACCCTTACAGGTGCTCAGGGAACTGCTACAGGTAGATACCATGCTGCTCTTCTCACAAACAGTGAAGAATGGGAAAAAGCTGCTGTGAAAGCAGGACAAATTTCTGGAGATCTGGTCCATCCTGTACCATATACACCTGAAATTCATTTTAATGAATTCGCAAGCAACATTGCTGATATGAAGAATTCAGTTGCAGTAAGCTTTGATTCTGTATACATATATAATTAATATGAAACTTTTACTGAATTTTTTTACAAATAGTCCTTTTGTAATTTTTTTTTTTTTTTTAAATGTTATTTGAACATTTCTGAACCTAAAATGAAATAATCTGGGGAACAGATATGTATAAAACAAATGAAACATTTATTATAATTAACATAATACAATGTGAAATAAAGGAAAGTGGTCAGCCACTGATGTGCGAATCACAGCAAGCCAGTACTGATCTTTCTGGGACAAGAGCAGTACCACTGTAACAACATGAAAAAAAATTGGTTTAAAATCAAGATACTGTTGACCATTTTTTTTTTTTTTTTTTTTTAATTATCATAGCACTGTGCATTATGAACTTCTGCTTACTGGCCAAATTATTAAAGAAATGTGGAGTGTTTTACATAAAACAATTTTATAATAAACAATTTGAATTCCTCACAGTACTCTTGTTGTTAATGAATATTTGGTCAAAAAATCAGGAAATATGATTCTGCAAACTGTTTTCACATATGATACAGTGTAACTGTTTGGTTAAAATTTCCACAAGTCCATCAACTTTAAAACATTTGTTGGAGGATTGGGAAAAAAAAGTGTAGCACGAGTACACTGTAATCAGAGAAAATTATTTTCAAGTAGGTGTGATAAACATTAACCAAAAATTTTAAATCTTGTGTTTTAGGAAATCATTTTTAATACAGTCAAAAGTCTTTAATCCGGACGTCCATAATCCAGAATGATCTATAATCCGGACCTCAAAGCTACAAACTTTCTGCGCATGCGTAAACGCATTATGCGTTTATGCATGCGCATATGCATTTACGAATGCGCATAATACCTTTACGCATGCACGTTTAATGTATAACAAATGGTATAAGCTAAAATTATCTAATTATCTATTTCAGTTAATGTTGCAGATTGCATTGTTCCTCAATCTTCCAATTGGGTCTGGCGTATTATTTTTTGCAGACTGTAGAGCAAGTTTATAAAAAGTAAGCTTGAACTTTCTATCATGTCAAAAAGAATTTCCGATTCTGGAGCTGCTAAAGGATCTACAAAGCAAAAGCATGTTTCGATATCCATCAAACAAAAAGTGGAATTGCTGCAAAAAATGAAAAGGCATATCCTTTGTTTCTCTAATCATTCTGAAATTTGTTTATCAATTTCACACTGCTCTGGGGGGGGGGGGGCGTCGCGGCGTGCAATGAACTGGAAGTTGATCTGTCAACACTATCCTTATCTTCAGAGCAGATGTTTTTATTTTATTCGGCTTATAATTCCTTAATAAATGCAGTATTTCATCTCTATGTACTCAGTCTTTGATATGATTTAAATCAAATTCCTCGTCATTATAAATATCACGAATACACATCAAATAGTTTTCTGGTTGCAATTTTCTAATTTCGACTATGTGTAATGTATGCCTTACGCATGCGCGCGTTGAAAGAAATGTTGAATAAAGTAAACAAATAAATATTAAGCTTTTTTGTAAATTTTGATATCCTTTAGATCATAATTGCTCTTTATTTCATAAATTACAGTTTCATATTTTTAATTTTATAATTTCTGCATGCCGTCTTACCAGATTTAAACTGATGATCTATAATCCGGAATCGCCGAAGTCCCAATGAGTCCGGATTAAAGACTTTTGACTGTATTTCTTTATTATAATATGTATTGTTTATGCATAATTTAATTTTATTCTTATCGACATGTGATTCTAAATTATTCATTTTTTTAAATTTTAGGATCGCTCCAATGCTCAGCCATCATGCGCAGGATTGTTCGTTGGAGCTCAGATTGGTTTCGATTATGAAGGCTATTGGATTCATGTAGATATGGCAAGTCCTGTACATTGTGTAAGTTTTAATGCCTTTTTTTCTTATCTCTATAATTTTGCTCAATAAGCTTTGACTGAGTGTTTTGTTATGCAAGCCATTCATTTTTCGACATTAGAAAAGAATTGTGAGCCATTTTAACTCTTTGAAGACAGATTTTTATTTTTCTGCCTTGGAACATATAATTATCTTTAGTCTTGAAAGAATTAATGAAATTGCCTTTTTAACCTTTCAATGTACATATAATTATTAAAATATACCTTTGTTGAAGCTAAAATTATTTGGAATTAAAATATTTAAATGCACAATTTTTTTTAGTGTTTATATATATTTTCATCTAAAAGTGTAATAACCGAAACTAATAATTAAATGTTTATATTTTTGTGGTAGTTTTCTTCAGTGTTTCAAGTATGCTTGCAGTATTTTCATGTGTAATAAATTTAAGATCTATGTGGTTAATTAAAGTTACAAATTCTGTACACTTCAGATTTATTCCCCCCCTAACAGTCAGTCATATCTAGAATATATAGTTTGATAAAGTGAAACAATTTCAGGTTCAACATGAAGGGCAATGATTTTTAGTTACAGTAATATACCATTCTGAATTCATCCTCTTTATCCATCAAATTAATTTATTCAGGAAGATTTAAATTTAAATAACTAAAAGCTACTGACGCCAGTTTCCTGAAGAATGTAATTTGGTTTTTGGCTTAATCTCAAGGCATTATGGACATAAGAACTGATACGAGGGCTATCCAGAAAGTAGATTACGTTTTGGAATAAAAAAATAAACAAAGTATAGGAAACAAATTTTATTATATACAGATGAAAGCCACACTCAAATACTACTTTTCTACATAGTCACCATACAAATTAAGGCATTTATCGTAGCGATGTACGAGCTTGGAAATTCCTTCGTCAAAAAATTTGGCCGCCTGCGCCTTCAACCACTTCGTTACCTCTTCTTGCAGCTGTGCGTCGTCATCAAAACGCTGCATAGCCAGCCACTTCTTCATTGCTGGGAATAGGTGGAAGTCGCTCGGTGCCAGGTCAGGACTGTACGGCGGATGAGGAAACAACTCCCACTTAAAAGATTCAAGAACTTTACGAGTGACATTTGCCATGTGGGGCGGGCGTTGTCGTGAATCAACAAGATCTTAGAGCTCAACATTCCTCTGCTGCGCTTGTTTTGAATTGCTCTTCTGAGTTTTTGGAGAGTTTGGCAATATCTTTGAGAGTTTATTGTAGTGCCTCTTTCCAGGAAGTCCACCAAAATTACACCTTTTCTGTCCCAAAAAACAGTCGCCATCATCTTCCTTGCCGACATTGTTTGCATGCATTTCTTGGGTTTTTGGGGAGAACTTGTGTGCCCCCACTGCATTGATTGCAATTTCGTTTCACAGTTCACATGTTTCACCCATGTTTCGTCACCAGTAACGATGCGATCGAGTAAAGATCGATTACCATCCTTATGGTAAACGTCCAAAAAGTTCAACGCTGCAGCCATTCGCTGATTTTTGTGGTCCTCTGTCAAGATTTTTGGAATCCATCTTGCTCAAAACTTGTGGTAACCAAGCTTTTCGCTGATGATTTCGTGCAACAAAAACTTCGCGAAATTTGTGGAAAACTCAAAGAAAAGTTCCGTTTTATTGTGAAATTTCGATTTTCACGGACTTTAGCATCGACTTTTTCGAGAAGTTGGCGGCGGTCACTATGCTGGGTCTCCCACTTCGATCTTCGTCGTGAACATTGGTTCGGTCGGCCATTTTTGAAATCTTATGACCCACTGACGCACTCCACCTTCAGTGATAATGTTGTCCCCATACACTTCACGAAGAAGCTGCCGATAGATTTCTATCGGTTTACAGTTTTTTGCAGTCAGAAACCTTATTACTGAGCGCACCTTGCAGCTCGCGGGATTTTCAATTAACGCAGACATTTCAAACCGTCACAGTATCTGAACGGAGCACAGCACGAACCTCTCACTAGCACGGCTAGATGCAGACTGAGCTGCGCAACGCTCTGACCCCAAGATGGCCGCGCTAGCCCCGCCCCTAGCGGACACAGACGGAAACGTAATCTACTTCCTGGATGGCCCTCGTATATACTTCAAATAAACTTTTAAGGCAAATTAAGTAAAAGAAAGTTATTATATACTAGTTACATTTTTAACATTGTAATGGCTTGATAAAATAATACAATTGATTGTAAGTAAAATCTGGCAATATTTTCAAACAGCTGGAAAGCAGTTGAATTTTTTTTTTTTTTAAGTACTTCAATACTTTGTTTTTATTGATACTAAAGATGTGTGGGAAAGATATCAAAAGCAATTAATTTTTTAGGGGAAGAAGAAACTTCATATAAAGGAACTAAAAAAAATTGTGTGTGTGTAAATCAGTTGGCACCTTCTTGCTCATAGTAACCTTTTACACTTTTGTTCATTATGCAGTTTCATTTATGCTCCACTTCCATCACTTTTCAAAAAAAGGAAAAAACCTTAATATTTTGAAAGATATTGCGAGGTTTGAATCCCTTGAACAGACTGGCTGCATGGACAGTTTCGTGGCTTTCCCCGTGTGTAACGTGTATATGAGCCAGTTTCGTTTAAAAGTTTAAAGCATCCCTCCCCTTTGGCATATAGTTCTTGAGGCCTTGCAGTAATTACATTAACCAAACCTAACCTGAAAAATATTACTGGTTCTCATGGTTATTCATCTATCTTGACATGAAGAAACTTTCTAGATTTGAACTTCTTCCAAAATCTTCAAATTAAGGACATTTTAATTTTTTCTGCCATTAATGTCATTTATTATCAAACTCAATCCTCTCCTATCTAAATGCTTAAAACAGTTCATTTTTCTGCTTACTGTGTACAAAATAAAGCTCAGCTGTAAAAGGCAGAAAACCTTACAGAAATAAAAAAGACTGAAGATACCTTTAATTCAAAATAAGTGGCATACTATCAAGTGCAGGATTCATGCGCAGGATTGTTCGTTGGAAAGCAGAAAGAAGTTGTTTAAGCAGAAAAAAGTGAAATTGTTTGCCATAGCTTTTCTACCGGTTGGATAAAAACATAACTTTCAAGTTACTGCTTTTAATAATTTGCCTCTCTCAATTTGGATTTCTCAAAAGCTTCCAAAATTTATCAAATCTTATGAACACAGTTTCTACTCCATTTTTGTTAATGGTTTAAAAAAAAAAAAAAAAATATTCTACACCCCCACCTCTCTTTTGACCAAGCACTCTTAACTTCCACATGAAATACAATTTTTACAGTATTCACCGTAAGAACAGCAACTGATTAATTTCCATTCATATTTGTGTTAATCTTTGCATTGAACTTCATTTATTAACTATTAAACAGCATAAATTATCTAATATTTTAATGGCAATTATATCACCGAGTAAAAAAGGTTATGAAATGTACACTGCCCAAAAAAGGGGGGACAGTTCTATATCTCCTGCTCTACTGGACCGATTGATGAAATTCAGATTGCGTTTTCCATGTCTCAGAAGTGTGACTTAGGATATATATTAGATCTATATATAGCTTTGTTCTAACATAGGTATTTTGACACAAAATCGGATTTTAATTGAAATAATATACTAATTTGTTTTCAATATTTCGATTCTAAGACTTAATTTTTGATGAAAAATTTGTGGAGAAGTTAAAATTTGTCTTGGCAAATTTTTTTCAGTTTGTGCCAAGAATAATTCACTCACTTGGCGAACTTCTTAATTTATAGCAACCTATTTACTTTTTCTTCATTGTTCAGGAGTGGGAAAAAAGTCATCTTTCATACTTTCAAATAATCATAACAAAGTGCATAAACCACACTTTTGTTATTATATTATCACTTATGATAAATATGCCAAATTTCAAAACATGCCAAAATGTTAATTCACATATGTCTCAGGAAATTTTGAATAAAAAACTATATTTTTGCAAGTGTTGCTTAGAACTACTACTTTAAGATGATGGCAAAACTTTTATAAGTTATAATTCAAAAATTTTTTGAAAAATTTACAGAAATTATTTTAAAATACAAATTTTAAAAATAAATCACAAAAATAGGCGAATTTTATTTGGAATGAACATAAATTTCAAAATATGAAAGGAAGAATCAGATAAGTTTAATAAAGAAATATTAATAAATATATATCAAATTCAATTAAACATTGAGGAGCTAAAATTTTGCAAGCTAATTTTTTAAAATCTACTCGCATGATTTTTACAAAACTTGGCATTCTGGCATAATTTGAGTCGTAGAATCGAAACATGGAAAAAAATTGGCATGTCATTTCAGAAAAAGTCTGATTTTGTGTCAAAATATCTATATTAGAATAATGCTATATATAAATCTAATAAACATCTTAAGTTGCACTTTCGAGATATAAAAAACACAATTTGAATTTCGTAAATCAGCCCAGTAGAACAGAAGATATAAGACTGTCCCCTAGTACCTTTTTTTTTTTTGCACAGTATACATTTTAAATTATGCGATTTAATCAGTTTTTATTCTGAAGAATTTGAAAGAAATTAGAACACTTAAAGATTTTAACATTTAAGGGATTCATAAATGGTAGTTGCAGAAAGTTACAGCGGAAAAATCTTTAAATTTTAAAAATTTTCAGAAATTCTAAGTATATTGCAATTTTAGGCCATTGCATTTGCTTAGTTAATTAAAAAAATTTTTAATAAGTGATTAAGAACTATTTGCATTTTTATTAAAAAAAAAAAAAGTCTACTTTGATAACATTTTCACCTTGCTGTAAAATACATGGTTTATAAAAACATAAGAAATCAATTTAGAAAAGCAAGAGACTATAGGTTTAACTATTTTATTCTGCAATATTTGAAGGAAATAATTTGCTAAAAGTGGATGTTTATTTACCCTTTTTAAAACTAATTAGATTTAACTGAATAATTTAAAGTGTACCAAGGGTTGTGTTTGTAAATCTTGGTGAAAATTTCCATTACAAATGAGTTTTGTTTTATATCCAAGACATTATTTCTCATACATAATATAATTTTTATTTGCCTAGTGCAGTGTTTCTTAACCTTTCTAGCCAGTCGCACCCCATTGAATCTGAAAAGATATCTCCGCACCACATTGAAAAATGTGTTATCTTTTTAGTCTAGAAAAATACATTTTTTGCAAAACTTATTGTTTATTGAAAAACGTACATTTTATATAAATACAAAACAATATTTTTATTAATGACTAGTCTGTTTAGACTAGAAGAGAAACACGCTAATGTGACAATCAAAATCGTAAAAACAACCTTGTATTTAGCGTAGGTATAATGTATACAAGGTTGTTTTATGCTAAATACAAGGTTGTTTTTACAATTTTGATAGTCTGTTGTTTGTTCATTATTATACTGGTGAAGTGAGGTTCCTTTTTTGAAAGACATACGCACAAGTCATCACTTGCACTTAAGCGATTTCTCGCTTTTGTTTTTATATACAAAAGCGATGAAAATCCCATTTCGCACAAGTAGGTGGTAGCAAAGGGTAAGAGTAACTGCAGTGCTCTGTTTGCCAACTCTAGATAACGTTTTAACTGTGAACACCAGAATTGTTGCAATTCTAATTGTTCGAATTCCATTTGAACATGTCCACTTGCTCGCATTTCAACAAGTTGATCTTTTTTCAGATCACTATCATCCATTAAATTTAAGTCAAATAGAAATGGATCCAGTATCCATCTCAGAGTTTTGGTAACATTTCCGATAGAAAAATATCTATTGAATGATTCACTCAATCGTCTATGTCAGGTATAATTGTATTTTCATTTTTCGCAATAACAGAATCAAGCAAGGGAAAGTTTGCGAAATTCCCCTTTTCTACTCAACGTATCCAAATTTCTAATTTTGCAATAAATGAAGATAATTTTTCATTAGATATGCTTCCTCTCGTATTCACCTCCAGTGGCTCACAAAATAGAAATTCTTCTATCACCTCTTTTTCCTTCACAATACCTAACAAATATCAAAAGTTGGCTACAATTATCAACATCAGTTGACTCATCCAGTTGCATGCTTATTTTTAGTGGACTGATTTTTATGTCTTCAATTACTTGCATTAAAATATCTTCACCGAGATCTTGTATTCACGATCGTATAATATCATTCGATAATGGAGTCTGTTGGATTTTTTTATGTGCTTCCGAATCTAAAACTGTTTTAGCATAATTAAAGCAGAAGGTTTAATCAACTCTTTAGCGATCTTGTGAGGTTTCTTTTTTCTTTCTTTTTTTTTTTTCACACAAATATGCCACTTGATATGACGCTTCTAATAAAGGTTTTTGAATTGCTGGTCCGCACAATTTTAGGATAGTTCCACTGGTATGAAACCGAGCCTTCTTTGACTTCAAGCCGTATATGCTATGTGCTTTTTCGCCACCATGCAGATTGTTGAAATGCCCTAATAACTTTGATGGTTTGAGATTGCTGTTTGAAAATTTCTTGGAATGCAAGATGCATTGTGGTCATTGCGTGCCATCTTTTTCGGTTGTGCAGATAAATCCATAACAAACATACTTATCGTTCCATTGTAGTTTTTTTTTTTTTTTTTTTTTTTTCATAGTGGGGTTAACTATAATCAATTTAATTATTTAGAAATAATGTAATATATATAATGTTCTTACGTTTGTAATATCACTGAATCCTATTTGGCTTGAATGGCAATTAAGAATGTATTAGTCTCAAGAGGTTTCTGGACAAGTCAGAATACGGAAGTCACAGACACAATAGTTGACTGAACTTAACTCAACCTAACATAGGTGCAGTAGATGCAGATACAAATCTGTGAATCCGTAGATTCCATTGGAGTAGCACGTATTGAACTCAGCACATGCGCAAGCTGGGATTAACGTTCTACGGTTGTATTTCCACAAAGTTTTTTTCCTTTTCTCCGTCACCTAGCTGCCTGCTCGCATTTGTTTATAGCGTAGTGTATATGCCCATCGGCACTGGCTCTTTCCTGTGTCTTCTGCCGATAAGTAAGCTAGGTGCTACCAAATTTTATGAGCTTTAATATTGAGGACACTATTGCAAATTTCAAATATTTTATTATAAGATATTAATAAATGATATTTAATAATTTTTATGGATAGGTAGGGGCTTTTTCCACACCCCCAAAAATACATTCCCGCACCCCTAAAGTACCACTGGCCTATTGTATCGTACTTGCATGTTTAGTATTACCTGAAAACTTAAATTCTATGAAATTTTAGAATATTTCAAGAACTTTTTTATTTATCTCAAGTGCAGTCTTAATTTAATATTTATTTTTTCACATAATATATCTTTATTATTATTATTATGTAATTTGCTAGCTATTCTTAAAAAGTATTGTCCCAAATAAAGCCAGCCCCTTTTCAATTTAGAAAGCTCCTCAAAAACCAATGCTAGGCATGTAGCTTAAAATACATTTCTTATTTCAGTTCATTTCCTAATATAAACATATATTTAATTTAGGTTGAATTGCCATAATTTTTAATTTACAACAAGCATTTTCCAATCTGAATTTTACATTCAAAAACTTACACAGAAACATCAGTACTCCCAGTCACATTGTATTGCAGTAGTCCAACAAATTTATTGAGCATTATTTGAATTAACTGTATAGTGGGAATGTCATCAATTATTTCTGTTAAAGTATAATTTTTAAAAAAAATTTTATAGCTAGCAAAAACTTTCTAAAAGTTGCGGCATTGTTATTTTAATAGGGTGATAGAGCTACAGGCTATGGAGTTGCTTTGCTGACTACTCTGTTTGGCCATGCTTCTGATAATTCTCTTCTGCAAATGCTTTCACCTCACATGGAAGCAGAAGGAAATGGAATGGAAAGTGCAAGTAAAAAAATAAGACTAGAGTGATAAATCTTCTGTATTTGTCAAGCTATGCAAAATATATAAATCATCGAACTACTCCACAATATGCAAAATCTCATTCAGGAACTCTAATTTCAATTAAACTTTTTACCTCAAAGAAATAGTTCTTTCATTGCTGTCTCATTTCTTTTACATATAACAAAGTCTGCATTTATTAAAAATTTGAAAATCTTAAAAACTATTGCATATTTAGTAGTGTGTAAACAAGAAAAACTAATATACTGGGTTGGAGAAAACTGAATATGTATTTTTTAAAAAATTCCACCATGAAATAAACTAGATTTGTATCCAAGCTGTCAACTTTTGAAATGATATTCAGAAAGGCAGAATATTTCCTTTGCTGGTAAGATTTGTTTTATATCATTAACATAAAAATAGACATTCTCAATATTTTTGACTCAAAATGTACAATTTTGAGATAAATGTGTGTAGAAGCATTTTGAAATTGTTGGATTTTAAGATTTAACTAGTATCTTAAAAAAATTATATAATGACTCAATATTAAAAACTTAGCAGTATTCAGATTAATACTAATTTTGAATTTTTTTAAATACACTGTCTCCCAAATAAATTTAACAGTATTGAATAAATATATGTCACTGAGGATCCAGCTTCTGTAAGCATTGCTTATAGATTGAAAATACAAATGTTTAAATGAAATTTGATCTTTTTTCATAACAAGCACATTCAAAGATCCTTTTAAATAAAGTGTTGCAGAGAAAATGAGTTTTTAAAAGCATGTTGAATCAGAATATACAGATTTATAACTTCAGATTTCAAAAAGCTCTTAATTCTGCAACTTTAAACAATCCATTATAGGTTATGAAATTTTTTACTGTAACTGCCATATTACCTTAAAAACAAGATTAGAAAACTTATGTGTGCAATTATGTTCCATTCATGCTAGAACTCATGACAAAGGTTTTAAATAAAATCTGTTAGGAAGAAATAATAAAATTATATATCATAAACATCAATTTGCTTCTACTAAATTTCCAATCTATAAAAAGAGTAAAAAGATGTAAAGTAAGAAACATTCCTTGTTGAACATTCCTTATATTTATTAAAAGATTATTTATTGGGCATATAAATTTAAGCTTTATCTTAATCCATTGATTAATATCTTATTTCTACAACTAATACCTAACCTGCTGATGAAAAATTAGATATGAATATGTATTATCTTTTGCTCCATACACTGTATCTGTACTTGTTACAGTTTGATCATGCTGAATTTTTATGTTGAAACCCAAAAGAATTTAATGTAGTGATAATTACTAATTATTAATATAGCAGTAATTACTGTTGGGAACTGTGCAAGTTAATCTTTAGGAGTAAAATTATAAGAAAAGTAGTACATGTGTTTTGTTTGAAGTTAGGAATTCTATTGGCGAGTGACTTTGGAAAAATTTGAAGCTAACTAAATTCTTTAAAAAAAATTTTCTTTCTGGCTTTACCATCAAATATTTCTATAATTCACATTTATAGCTTATGAAAAATGAAATCAAAATCTAAAGCAAATCCCAAATCTTCTTCAGCTCACATGATGAACAGATGTACCTCTGATGACAATGTGATAAATGTGATAAAACTAAATGTGTTGAATAATATATAGCATGAACATCTATACTAGTCAGTCCCTTTATTATGTGTTGATAATCTAACAGCTGTTCAGAATGTTCATAAGATTTTAGAACCATAGCATTCCCCTTTACAGCTAGTATAAGTAGTGCTGTATTTTATAAAGAAATACACCCCCACATTCAACAGATGTTCATTTTAAATTTTCAGCCTATAAGTAAATATGCTACCTATAATTTAACTGTTTCATCTTCAAAAATAAAATGAATTTTATTATAATATATGAAGAGTATTCATAATAAAACTATTTATGAAGTTGATTCATTCTTATAAACTGTAGCAATGACAGACAACTGATTTAAAATTATTTCTGAAAAATTTGTATCCCCTCCAAATCTCAATTTAAGTCAGTACTATAATATGAATGCGAATGTTTCATGTTTATGTACAAAAGCTTGTAATATTTAAGTATAAACCGCTTTATTTCAGAAAGCTAACACTTTGTTTGCAGAATAGAAACAATAGAGTTAAAAAGAAATACATATATAAATGGTAACAAAAAATATCTTCATTATGATACTGTAAATACAAAAGGCCCAGCCTTAACTTCTCGTTCCTGTTCCATAATTTGCTCCTCCTACTTTATCCACGTGATCACGCAAGAACTCTTCTGTTAGCTCATCTGGACTTTCAAGTTGAAGTTCTACTGCAAAATTCTATTAAAAAGTATTGAAAACTATTAGGTAAAAATTTTATTGAAAACTATTAGGTAAAAATTTTAGAATTTATGCTTATATACATTAAATGAAATTAAAACACCTAGAACCGTTTGTTGAAAAAGATTGCAAATTTGTATATATGAAAGTCAGTGATATATGCAAGTGATAAAAATTACAAATGGGTAGTAAATTCTATATTTTCTATAGCTGATATAAACATGTGATTCAGTAGATACATGTGGTAACATCACATGTATCTAAAATAAATTAATTTTACAAATCAAATCAAATATTGCTTTAAAAGTGAATTATATCATGAAAAATACTCATAATTTATATTTGAAAGCAATACATAGTTTTACAGACTTTGGAAAAAGGGAACAATCAGTTTACATGAAGCCGATTCGTCAATTAGACAGGTAAGACTGTGTATTCATTGCCAGTTAAAAGGTGTTCATATTGGATATAGGCTATAAGGAGATGGTTGTTGAATATCATTATCTTTTCATTAAGTGCCAAACCCTAGTTACTTCTACAGCCACTTTATCAACTGTTAAGCAGAGGGTGATTCTATCATTACTTAACTCACCTTCCGACAAATTTTTAATTGCCTTGTGGCAATAAGCTTGTACACGCATTTTCCAATTTGCCGTTTATCGCTGACTGCAAATGAATATCCATTGTTTAAAATACCATCTTTGAATAAATCAATATGAAATGGTGTCTTCTTTGGCAACAAATCCCACATTTGCTTTAACTTACATGATGAACAGTTATGCATATGATGACAATGTGATAGACAAGATAAAGTTAAATGTGTCGAATAATATATAGTTTTGAACAGCTGTACTAGCCAGTCCGCTTTAGTTGATAATTTAACAGCTGTTCAGTAGGTTCATAAAATTTTAAATCTATAGCATTCCTTTTTATAGCTAGTCTTAAGCTGTGCATATTTTATAAAGAAATGCACACCTACATTCAACAGACATCTCATAAGAATGCTTATATGATATTATAATATTATGCTGTATCCCCAGATTTATGATCAATGGAAAATATCTAGATTCTAGATCATCAGATGAAATCTACGAGTTCTATCAGAACCTCTTTAAGTGACGTATCTCTTCTACAGCTTGAGCAAGTGTACTGAACAATAACCTAAGATACTATATAATATTTTTATATTTAAGTTACATGGAGGGTAAGAAAATGCATCACAAGCTGCTTTATACTGATCAATTTACATTTTTAATGTGTAATAATTTTATTATGCTCTGAAATGTTTTCAAATTATTTATTGGCTAAACTAATGATTCATTATATTTCAAGTAAACTGCACTACTCTTTAATTGGTGTTGCAATGTCAGTTTTACATTTTAAAATGCATGAAATTGAAATACAACTGAATTCCAAACATCTGGAGTTGCGGTTATTCAGATTTCTCATTTTGTCCAAGTCAATGTTAACTTAACATATTCATATGATTTCAATTTATTGACCAAGTAATATAAAAAGATAAAACTACTTTAAAAAAATGAAACCAATTTAGATGAATGTGTGATGTGAAAATTGACTTGTAATATTGGACAGCCATGGAGCAACTTGTAAATATTAATGCAAAAATACTTATATTCTGTATACAGGATGTTTTAACACTTTGGCGGGTGGTGGGATGTCAGGCGTCCCACCTTTATCAGTTTTTATCTCCCAGATGAAAGCTGCAAAATTCAATTTAAAATACATACAATTACGCCTTTCAGTTCTCTAAATCTATAACAAGATGGTAGCACTAGTATTCATTCATGGAAACAAAGTAAAATAAAATAAAAATTCTTTGCAGGTCTAATTTTGAAGCAGTTTTTTTATTTCTAATGCAATTTAAATCATCTGAACAACTTTTGGTATGAATATTTAGAATGAATATTTTTATGCGAAAGTTTCCTTTTCTAATAAAAATTATTATTTGAATTCATATATATTAATTAAGAATGGTTGGAATTAAAAGGTGGGACCAAATACGTCCCTCCGCACATGTAGGAATTGCTGCTACTAGATGGCAGCCCCGTTCAAATATTTTAAAATTCAAATATCATGTTGATAATGCAAATTAATATTTTTTAATAAATTGCAATAATGTTAAAACGTGAAAAATATTTATTATTTTTTCCAAATGAGATGAAAATATAACTAACATGAAATGTCATTGAATACTGAATGGATATGCGAGTGTGATTCACCATAGAAAAAAATACTAAGCAGAGGAAAGAGGTGAAATGTAAATAATACATATAAATATCTTCCTTTTCAAATCTGTAACAAATAAAGTACTGGAATGAAAATCTTCTGTTTCAAATCTATTACAAAATCATTAAACAATATCTAAAAAGTCAAACAGAGGAATTTTTTTTAAAATTTGCGAATATGATCAATATTTTCTAGATAATTATTTCAAACACTTTTTTTTTATCTTGTATTTTCATTTTGTTGCTAAAACTAGCACTTTAGATAAGCATGTTAGGAGAATTTACACTGAGGCAAAGATGCCATTTTACTGCTCTAGATGTGCGGTGGGACAAGTGGTATCCCACCACATCATGAATTACCTTAAAAGTGTACCTTTGTTTTTGCAGGAAATAACATTGAATTAGGAGCTAATGTGTAAAGTTATTTTTTTTTTTATGCACCGAACCTCAAAGGGTTAAAGGATTGAAATATTTCATGAATGTGTGGCTGTAGATACCATAAACATCATAAGAACTAGTAACATGATAGAATTTTAATTTTCTTAAGATTTATTATAATACAGTATTTACAGAAGCAATTATTTGTTAAGGATTCTTTAAAAGAGCACCTTTTGCTTTGTAATGACTTTTCACAGTTCCTCTAGAATATTTGGTTTCTCTGGCATGAAGATCATTTGTTCAGTAACAAGAAATTTTACCATACCCCATTTGGGGTCTCAGCCCATAGTTTAAGAAACTTTGTTCTAAACTATAGCTAGTTTTCGAGAATGAACCTGGGAATTCTTCATTGATGAAGAAATTTTCCTGCCTAATATTACAATTGTCACTGCATTGGTCTCTTTCTCTGTGTGGATTTCATTCCAAAACCTTCCGTGATGACAAATGGAAAATTAATGTAATTCTACCTTTAAATGACTGATAGATTAAGCTTGAGATTTCCTTTAGTTAGAATAGTATTCACCAAAATTTAGAGAATTCCTTTAGGTAAACTTGTACATGCAAATTAATAGAATTTCAAAATGTCATATGTTGCAGTTTTATAGTGGAAAACCTATATTGTCATCTCTAAATTTATTACCAGAAGTACCCAGTGATCTATTTATAGATCACCTATTATCTGAATTGATATTAACAGTAAGTGAATAAAACTTCATAATTGCTTTTATGACATATGAAATGTAATTTTAAAATATTTTTCAAAAATTCTCATTTAAAAATAATTTGGTCATTAATGGGTTTATGTGACCTATTCAGAGGATTAAAAGGAAACGATACACTCATTGTATAGACTTGACATATATAGAAGTAAGACTGGTAGTCGAAATGAATTTGGTGGCATAATCAAAGATTTTTAATAAATCAATCATGCAATCCTAACAATAATTTTGGGAACTTTTTCTAGATAATGAACATAACCTTAATGAAAAACAGTGAGATACTTCAGGTGCTTTATCCATAGCTAAACTTTTAATAACCAATGCTATCAAAAGAATCTTAAAATTACTTATTATCTTAAGGTGATACTACAGTGATTTTGCAAGGAAAACAATCATATTATTAAATTCTTTAAAACTATTTCAAATTTTTGTGTTATCCCGAATGTAAACAAAAACTTGTAAATATACTTAAATGAAATACCTATTTCAACTTTAAGTACAGAATTTTTAAATTGTATATTGAATATTTTAAGTCTGTAAACTAAATTTCAGAGTATTAAAACTGCTTTTGCTTTTCTGTATTATGATAGAATTTTATAATTAGGTTCTAAATTTGCCCTTCCAACTAGGTCACACTGTAGATTTACTGTAGCCAGTTCATAGGGTAACCCTATAATGACATCTGTATTTATTCATGGGATCTTTATATTCACCTTTTCACCAACTGAAAAATCCATATATGATTGGCAATTATCTGAAAAACCCATTTTAAAATATTTTAATTTTATAATATTTCGGTTTTGCTAATAGAACAATAAAAAAATTAATAGTCTATGAAGAGTTATGTACCTGTATAACTTGTTTTACATCAGCTTTGTCAACAGAAACTTTAGCCCTTTTCAATGTACCAACTTTGGGACCAATCCATGTGAGAAGGACAAATTTTTTCCTTTTGCTCATTTCATCTCCAGCAAGAACACGAACAAATGCGAATGCACGATCTTCATCTGAAATACATCAGAAATCTTGTTTTAATGAGATGCGACTACATTTTTATATGCAGGAAAGTATTCATGTTCTAAATAGATTTATTTAAATGTGGTATATATTTGAATTATTAAATGGCAAAACTGCATACTGTAAAATAAGAAGTATATTCCAGCATCTATAATTTCAAACTACATTTTTTAATTTTTAAATATTTTTGCCATATAACTCTCATCCTTTTCTTTACGAAGAAACCTGAATATAAATGTGCAATGTTCTTATCTTTTAGAAGTCAGTCATTGAAGATTTTTCTCAGGCTTTCGAACGATAGTATATTGATTTGATAAGCAATAAAGGGAAGAATATGTGGGGGAGAGCAAATGCTTGAAGGAGTAAATAATTCTGCAAAGAGGATGCGTTGTATTCAATGCAGATGTGTATAAGAATGTTATTCTAGATTTTGAGATAATGGAGACATAATTTGGAGCAAGAATGCACTTCCGACCCAAATAAATTCACGGAATTATGAATCAGATGTTTTCTCTTTCTGTAGTCATCTGAAGCAGTGATTTTGAAGTGAACATCGAAGGCTTTGGTAACTCGCATTTCCTTTATTTGAGATACAGTTTGTCTAGTGTTCCTCTTTAGTAGTAAATATGGCTCCAGCTAAACTAAATGAACACAGAACTGGTTTCAAATGTAAAGTTATTCAATTTGTGAAAGAACATGGAAATTGTGCTGCAGCAAGTGTTTGGTGCTGTTAAAAGCTTCGTACGCGTGTGGAAGAAAATAATTAAGTATGCCAAAGAAAAAATGTGCTTTATGTAAAGAAGTAACGCAATGGCTTATCCCAGAAGGTATTACGAACTGGATCCTAGAAAATCGCAAGAATGGATTAATTGTAATAAGAAACGGTATGCATTTATTTACCGTAAAATGGTCAAAAAGAAATAAAATTGAAAATTTTAAAGCAACTTTGAGTTGATGTAATTGATTTATGGCATGGAATAATTTAATTCTATTAGAGAAAGCGAAAGTTTCCTAAAGATTTGGACAACAAATTGACAAATTTCCAGAAGCATGCTATCTACTTATGAAGGCAAAAAAATTGTTTACTGTCACAGATTGGCAATATAGATGAAATCCTGTAATGTGTGATATGATAGGAAATAAAATGGTTCACATAAAATCAACAGAAAAATTTACTTCACAGTAGTGCTTTCGTGCTTAGTGGACGGTACAAAATTAAAACCCATAGTTATTTTTAAAAGGAAGAGATGCCAATTTGTAATTTTCCAAATGGTGTTTTCATTCTTTCTTCACGAGAATGGTTGGATGGACGAAAACGGTGTGAAATTGTGAATAAACAGTGTTTGGTGAAAGCGTTTTGTTGCCGTTAAAAGAACCCAGAAAATCTTTTTTAGTTTAGGACATGTTCAGATTGTATTTAAAGGATAATTTGCAGAAATTATTGAAAGAGTAATAAAGATATGGCAGTTATCCCAGGCGGATTAACGCCGTTAGTTCAATCTTTAGATGTGTGTATCAAAAAACCATTCAAAGAAAATTTTAAAGTACAGTGGAATATATGGATGTTAGAAGGTGAAAAAACATTTATATAAAAGGAGGCCAAATGCTTCATATGCCAGTCTAGAAATAGTGCGTGAGTGGATAATAAAAGCAAAATTAAACCCAACATAATCCAAAAGTCATTAAAAAATATAGTATATCTAACAAACAAGATAGAACGGAGGATAATTATTTATGAATTAGAATAATAACGATGGTGAAGACTAAATCTGATGATGTGTCTGAAGATGTAACAGAAGACAAATATGAAAACTTCATGTTATCAGATAATGAAAATTTTTTAATTCGTAAGGTATGTAATTTAAATACACAGCATTAGGTACATATAGAAATTTAATTTTTATCTTATTATTTTTTTAATTTTAAATCTATTGTTTTTATATCCGACGTACTACGTGCACCCCTAAAATTTGATCTGATTTTTTTTTTTTTTTTTTTAAATTGCGCTGGAATATACTGCTTATAAGAATAAGTGAGTCGAAAGCTTTCTCCCACCTTCATCAACATCATTAAAATTGCAAAGAATGGCAAAATAAGATCTAAATGTGAATATTTGACACATCTGTTGGATTAAACTTGTGATTTCAAATGAAATTCAATCAATTATGAAAATATTTGATATTGTACATTGAATATTTACTTTAACGGTTAGTGTATCGCATGTTTCTTTAAAGTTGGCTATGTTTTCAATATATTTTTTAAAGCTTTAAATATGCAAGGAATAAAATCAGCATAATAATTCATACATTTGAAATTTTAATTATTCTTTATTTACTTTAAAATTTGTCAACTCTTAGACGATGATGCTAAGTTGTTTTTGGTGACATTCTGAACAGATATTTATCCAATTCTCCCACTTTTTTAAAATTCATTTAAAACTGCCTTGCATTTTCTTCTCATTGAAATAAACTTCCAAAAACTTTAATTGCATCACTTATCGATATTCATGGCTCTTTATGTACTAAAAACTACCAGCGAAAAAAAAAATCACTTGCCATGATGTACTGCGAATTGTCGAATTTTCAATTAAATTATCTTTGAACATTCGACTTTATGAGTATTTATCATACAGAATGTAATGCTTAAACTTCTGGAATATTTTTGTTAATTTTTTCATATTTTTCCCTTAGTATGAATGAGCTCAGAGATGACTACTGGTGTTCAATCAATATCAGGAAATTTTTAAAATAGATTTTTGACTGATAAATCCTACATAATGAAGTCATTGTAATGTGGCATCTTTATCCCAAATGCTTTACATTAAAGGGAGAACAAATTGCATATTTATTTTACATATATCTTTTAAGGTTTAAAAGATTAAGCCTACTAAAATTTTGTCACACACAGTTTTTCAATGTCTTAGGAATCTCTAAATTAATTTTAAGCTCGCTAAATTCCTCGTACGGGGAAAGGAATTTAGCTTTTACAAATTTTAATTTTTCTCTTTCAAGCAGTTGCAGGGTAGTTATCGAAGAGCAATAGAAAGCATTCCTTTGATGTTATTTTATAGATTAAATTATTTGATTATGGCAAAATATCCTAGATGTATTTGCCGAGGATTTAAATTTCCAAGGAAAAGTGACTCATATTCACATGGGTTTCCTTATGTGAATAAACGCCCATGCAGACAGCTCACTCACTGAGATTTAAACCCAAGTCGATTTGTCAATGATCATTGATTTTTTTTTTTTTTTCCCATCAGTTGTTGTATCATTGATGTTACTGCAAATGTTGCATCAGTTTTAAGATACTACAATTTATTTCTGCGTTTCTTTGTATTGCAAATTTTGGCCCCAAACATTTGAAGGTTATTTGCGGCAAACCAATGTTTGAAGTGACTATTAAAAAGTACGTTAAAAAACTGCATGCATGTAATGACAATATAGTTTAGGCTGTATAAAATTGAATATAAAAGCAGATTACAATTTATAGTAAAAACCAATATCTTAAAAAATGGAACATTTTATGATGAGATTGTTTCCCTATTAAGTTTACTAAATTCAATTTAAAACAAAATGCTTTAGGCGAAAATATTTAAAACTATGGCATTCCATTAAAATATGACAAACTATCAAACTTCATCGCAGTTGACGCAAAGTAGATTTATCTTGCCTTTCAAAAGATGCTCGAGTCAGGCGACAGTGACCAGTTGTCAAATGAGTTGAGAGAACTTCCCTTCTATTTAGCATAGACGGCCAGCACTCGGTAGTGAGTTTAACACTTCTCAGCTTATTGTTTACTTGGTCATCCCAATGCATCTGTCATTTATTGAGAATTTTATGTTTGATGAAAGTCCTGATTCTGTGGGTAGGATCTGAAACTTAGACATTGTAAAAGCAGCCTCAGCTATAATATCTGGCAGTTCATTCCCTTTTTTTGCCAGGGATCCAGGAGTAGAGAATCTGGTATCCCCGACATTTTAGCGTGGGATTATAAACTTCAGAATTCCGGTAATGATGGGATGAGAACTATAAGTAGGATCTTTCAGTGACGTTAAGGCACTCAAAGAATCTGTGTAGATAATGAAATTCCTGCAACGTTGTTTCGTGAGGAAGATTAAAGCCTGATAAACAAAAATGAAAACCGAGCAGCTGAGTGTAACCGAAACCCAACAATTGATTTTTCCACTACAAAAAGCTGTACCAACATTACCTCAGGATTTTGATCCATCTTTATAGAGAGGGATATAATTTCTATAGTTATGCCTATATTCTGCAAAGATCTGGTCGTAAATTATATCGTTAGTTATACTTATCTCAATGTTTGAATGTATCCAGAAGCTGAATTTTCCAGTCCTTTTTAAAGAAATTCTTCAGTTTTTTAAATGTAAACGGATGGAATTTTAGGTCTGAGACATGATTTTAAAACAGTGCTTTAAACAAAGATGATCTATTCTTAAACGCAGGGTAGTCTTGTTGCATTTCATATTCAGGCTTTCCACTAGAGATGTTTTAAAAGCACCAATACACATTCGTACCAATGTTCTGTGGCTTTAGCCACTTGACTATTATTGAAGGGCTTAAGATGCGGATTTTTTAATTAAGCACAAAACACGCGAATTAAGATTCATTATTTTGAACAGGAATAACTCAAGATAACTTTCGGATCGATTAATTTTAGATACCACATTCCACACTTTATCATCAGATTAAACTTTGTAGATTAAAGTATTAAGTGTCATTATCATCAGATTCAAAGTGTTCACTTTGTGCTCCAATACGTCGACCCAGCGTTCCTGTACTACCGATAGATTACGGCCTCTAAGGCTGCGTTCAGACAGCGACGTAAATGTCACCGAGGCATAGTCGCAAGGAATAAAATGAGAGAATTCCGTTCATACCTGCGACACAGGGTCTATACCGCACTTACTTAGAGAAGCTAAATTTGCGCATGCGTGGACTGTTTACAGCTTTCCCTCTCTGTTTACCCA